TCTGCATTTTTCACAGGCTCCAAAGATTATTATGAGTTGGCATATGACCAGATTTGAAATATTCTGTTTGGCTATCAACTTTTGTATTTAAATCGTTGGGTGCAGACTCAGTATAAAGTTTATTAATATGGACAACGATGTTTTGTTTATTCACATATACAGATTGAGGGCTAGTGTATGTTCTTTTTGTTTAATGAATTAAATTAGGGTCAAGTTTACCTCTGAAGATCTCAGAAGGCAGATAATTTTTTTTTTTTTTTGGTGACTTTCCTATGCATTTTCCCATTTTGTTTTCTGTAGACAAGCCTCACACACATACTGTCTCCATGGAACAAAAGTGGTGCTTAATATTAGAAAACAATAACATGAAAAGCAAAAGCAACATTTTGTGGATGACAGTTGTTGCACAATCTTGATCCCTATGAATGTATTTATGTATTCTTTGAATGTATAATAAAAGGTAATGATATCTTAGGTATATTTGTGGGAACATCACAATTTTAAATTTGTTTTTACTATTTTTATTTTTTAATTGAAATTATTGATAAAATTGTAAATTCACATGCATTTTTAAGAAATTACACAGCAAGATCCTGAATACATTTTATTCAGTTTCCCTTAATGTTAACTTCTTACAAAATCATAACAACATATTGCAATCAGGAATTTGATACTGGTATAATACACTGGTGTTCAGATATCCCCAATTTGTGTCTGTGTCATTGTATTTTTTAATGGTATCTCATTATATATATTATATATGTGTGTGTGTATATATATATTATATATGTGTATATATAATATATATATTATATACGTGTATATATATGTATATTATGTATGTATATGTATATATATGTATATTATATATACACGTATATAATATATATATTATATATACATGTTGTACTTTGGCACTTTGTACTACTTCTCTATCTTTTGTTTGTATTAAAATTAGAGAAGAGAATATAAACTGACTTAACAGAACATGAGTACCGACCACTCACCTCTATTAATAGTTGAAATCCATTTATATATCTCAAGTATTCACTCTGCCTCCTCTCCTCTCAGAGGTAAACATCATCCCATATTCAGTATTTTAATATTTTACTACATATATAGTTAGGAACAAGTAATATATGTTAAAGTTTTGCAAGTGTCATACTCTAAATAAGGTGTCATAAAAGTACCTATATTATTCTGTATGTGTGCATAACTTATGTATTTACCTTGTTTGAGATTTGAAGTTATTTCTGTTTTACTGTGACTACAGCAGTAGACAATCCCATACACAGGTAGATGTCAGAGAGTTTCTCTGAATGTATCAATAGTAGTGAACCTGTCACATAATAAAGTAGGTACATCTTCAACTTTCCTGAATATTACTAAATAGTTCTCTATATTAGCTGTACATTTATACTCAGTAGAAGTATATTTGAGTTCCTGTTTGCCTACATCATTGCATTGTCTAAGTTGTAAATTCTTTGCCAATCACATAGGCTCTGTACTCATGCATTAAAACCCCTCAATTTCTACCTTTGTGAAATGAAAAGAGTAATAAAATCTACTTCACAACTTGTAATTAGGTTTAAATGTGGAAATCCATGTGAAAGTACTTAGCAGTGTCTCATACTCAAAAGGAATTAAAATGTTTTATATCAAAATGTGAAAAAATGCAAAGTGTTCTGCTCTAAACTGGGGTAGATAAGGATGTCTTCTTAGGCGATGTCATTGGTGGTGTGTAATTACAACTTCTTGCATTGGGGTTTATGGTTGAACATGATATTTTAATAACAGCAAACTCCAGAAATAGAGCCCTGATTCTGACTGATCTGGGATCCTAACTAAACAGTATTCCTTCAACACCCCCCCACCACCAAAATCAACAACAACAACAAAAAACCTAAACCTGTGATTTAGTCCTACCTTAGGAGTCATGAGACTACCAGGATTATAAAAATGTAAAGATCTTGTGCACACCTAGAAGAGCTGGTGGTCTAACAGGAAACTGCAGTCAGATGGATGGGAAGACCAGGATGAAGGAATGAGTTATGATGTCACTCTGATATTCTACAATCCCCCCACATCCAGAGGACATGCTGAGGACTTGTTTTCTGGGGGGCAAACTAAGATTGATCTACAGTGACATATACGGCTATCTAGGATTGCCTTTAGTGTCCTTAGCAGAGTATATGTCCATTGAAGAGAGAAATGAACTTCTAGCAGAATGAATGTCTGGCTTGAACGTAATGCTGGTGACTGTTTGATTATAGTGCAAACTAGTAGAATGATTAGGAATTTCATGTATTTTCAATGATGAACAATAATGTCTTCGCTCAGAAATTAGCGGACTTCATCTGAAAACATTTACCTGAGGTAGTCAGCAGACAAATGTGTGGGCTGGCAATATACAGTTACTGTTAAGAGAATGGCCTCTGAAATCAGAAAGCCTTGCAAGCTACCAACTGTGTGATCTTGGGAAAGTTATGTAACCTCCCCTCGAGTTTTCTCATTCTTCACAGAATTTACAATGTGAGTTTATTATTAGGATCAAGTAAGATATTTTATCAAAACAAAAACAGACACATAACAAATTCTAACATATCTGCCAGAAGGTTGTCTCTGAAGGGTAATGTCTACCCTGTACTACAATTTTAGTCCATACTACATAATTCTGTGGTGACTTGAAAGCGACAAAAACTGGGAGAGAATCCCACCAAGCCAGCCACATTGGAGTTCAGAATAACTTGACCAGTTGTGAGAGACTAAATATGGGAGAATGGATAAAGTGGAATTTCATGAATTCAAAATGTAAAGGCCTCAGAAAGAATGGGAACATTCTTTCTTTTGGAACACAAAGGGAACATTCTGCCAGCTATCCCTATCGCCAAGCCCTACTCATCATAAAGTGATCAGATTCTTGGAAGGAAATTAAAAGTATCCAGGACAGGGGTTTTAAGGAGATTATTGAAGGAGATATGTGAGTAGGGTTAAAGGAATCCCCAGAGAATGGGGGAACCGGAACCCAGGGAATAATGAGAGTGAGAAGCCATTGCTATCTCTGGGCTGGAAGTGGCGGTGCAGGGACTGGTGTTTCCGGAGCTTGGGGAGAGCTAGAACCTTGGACAGAAAAGGCTGACAGATGCTGTGCTGAATAACAAACAGTTCCTCAGAGCTCTATGTGTATAAAAGTCACCTTGGGTTTCTGTCAAAGGGCAGATCCTAATTCTATCACTCTGGATTGGGGCCCAGATCCAACAGTTTTAGCAAAATCTCAGGTGATTTCAATGCTATCTCTCACACCCTTAGGCCATGCTGTAAGAAGTAAGGGCATTGAGAAACTTAGTCAGTGACACATCTAGGGCATCCAAGCAAAGAAGTGTCTGAAAAAGAAGTAACCCTTAGTTTCCTTGGGTAAATTGGATTCAGAGTATTAGATTGAAAGTCCTTTTTCTTTATATAAAGTATATTCTAAGACTCATTAAACTAAAACTAAAATAACATTTAGGAAAACAAGCAGAACATAAAGAAAAAAGATGATTTCAAATGCAGACTTGAGCCATTAGATAAGCTTCCTTTCTTCGAGGCTCACTACAATTAGACTTACAGAAAGAATGGGAAATATAGGGCGCGTGGGTGGCTCAGTTGGTTAAGCGACTGCCTTTGGCTCAGGTCATGATCCTGGAGTCCCGGGATCGAGTCCCACATCGGGCTTCCTGCTCAGCAGGG